CCGAGCCTGGGCCTGATTCTTGAGAAAACACCAGAGGTGGTGAGCATACCGCGTTCAAACAAGAAAGTTGAAGTGAACATGGGCGATGGAAATGGCTTGTTAACCACGAACTTGGGAGTGGTATGGAAGCTATTAAGACCCTCCTGGTGTCCACATCCCCACGCGAGTCTGATCGAGGAAACCACCGAGCGAGTGAGGTTAGCACCAACGGAAGATGAAGATCTGGCAAAGTTGAGTGTGCTGCATAAGCTAATTCCACCTCAGATGCAAGAGCCAGGCGAAAAGACTAGTAATCCCGGGTCAGCAAAGAAATTGGAGCCGGGTAGCTGTCTGGATTCGACGTGTGGAAACGGAGAGCACACCTGCGATGGACGGTCATGCGTTAGAATACTGTCATTTCAAAAAGAAGACCTGGTCACTTGGTTCGAAGACATAACAGAAAGGGAGAAAAGTGAAGTGCAAATAGTAGCGGAGTGTTACGCGAGAACCACGGTGAATATAGCGACAGCTCTCGGATTCTTCTCGAGAATGTGTAGTCTGCAGTCACTGGAAAGACTAGAATCTGAACATCATTTAGTGACGGCGTTGAGCGTAGAATCATGGCCCGGGGTGTTGCAGGTGACTCAAAAACACATCCGGAGCTGGAAGGTTGGTCTCGAGGCGGAAATGGGATTTCCCATGAGCGAAGCTTATGGCTTGCCATTGAACGCGAAATCGCTGATAGGGTCAATGATGGCCAACTTGTGCGGAAGTCACTACCCACTGCACATGGTGATGGTGGAAGCATCCAGCCAGAGAGTACTGGTGGACAAGGCCTTCTCAGTGCCCAAGTGCGTGAGGTTGGCTCGGATATCGCATCACTCGCACAAGTTGTTGAGAAAAATCAGAGGGACAGTACCAAAAGAATTGAGAGATGACTTGAGTGAAATCTGGGGAGAAGAACTTTTGAAGTTGGAGAGAGAGAACACAAGCGATCACGAGAGACAAAACGTGATCGGAAAACCTGTGGGAAGTGCTCCAAACCTGGAAGATAAAATACGATGCATGAGAAAATGATGGAGCTTGAGCCTCTCTTGGAAGCCTCGGGGGAGCGTAACCTCAGGAGCATTGAAATCACCCATGGAGAATGCCCATGCCACTGTTTAGCGCAAACGGTGTGGTATCCAGATCACAAGAACCTTTGCCTGGTGTGGGATATGGAAGAAATCCGGTCGATCGGACTACCGGGTCACCGACAGAAGGTGACGATCTTGGTAGTGAGTACGATCTTGGCTCTGAGATGGATAGAAGAGAATATAACGAAGTATCGGGAAGCGGGGACGCCAACGGCAGAGTCAATATACGCGATAGACTACAGTAGGAGACTCGAGTTGTTTGAGACTGCGTGCAAGGTATTCGCCATACCAACGGAAGTCAGACATATCTGGAGCCGTTTGAGGTACTTTCCCGTTACAGCTTAAAGGCTACTACTAAAATATCCCCCCCCCACTCTAGAATTAATAACGTCCCCATACTCAGGTCTCTAGATACCCAAAATACATGAACGCCGTTAAAAACCGGGTCGGAACAATCCGTTAAGTTACTTTTTATTAGACAGTGGAACTTTGATCCATTTCAGATGGATCAACCTAAAACTCGCCTTACCTCAACATAACAATTATAAAACACACTCTAGAAATTTAAATTAGTACTCACATTGTAGCACGCTCAAGAATCAGGAAGTAAATAAGTCGGTGTGCAACTCAAGAATCAATAAAGTAACTAAAATGAGTTTAATGTTTGTCAGTTTTAATAACAAGAACAAGTTTGTACTCTAGAATGTCAGTTCTCGTGAACCATTGGGACACTCTAGCTGTCCACCTTTCCACCGAAGGTTCACTCTAGTCCAGTTTAGAATAATACTCCAATCACAACAATCCAGTTCGTGGGGATGCGCTCGTCTCTCTTCTAGATGGGACAGCTCTACTCTAGATTATTATCGCTACTGAAATTGCGAATAGCAATTTCCCACTGATTTTTCTGGCAACTTTCCCGCGCTTGTCACTCGATTGTTCTTACTTCTCTTTTCTGATTTTCAGTTATCGCGAGAAAATCGTGCATGACAGGTTCCATTCGAAAATTTAAAAAATTAAATTTCACTCCAAAATCAAGTGTTTTTTGCTTCTCTCAAGGTCAAACTTCCAAATATGACCGACTGGCACACAGATCAGAGGCTACGAATTCGAAACTGCATTTTCGTCCATTCTGTACGAATGTCACATTGTTAGTTAGATATGATTTCAATTATTTAAAGGTCCGTCCTCTAAAACCTAAATTGAATAGTTTTGACTAGAATGCCGTGATCAACATTAGCAAAGGCTAATTCGTAGCCAGTCGATATGATGTCGATTTTGCTTCCATTATTAATGGTTTGATGCACTCTGTCCAAAAAGACCAGAAGTTTGTAGAGACGTGATCTTCCTTTGCAAAATCCGTATTGAGAATCGTGAAGACTTGGTTGTAGGTGTCTGTACAGATAAATGAACGGGCCTTTCAAATTATCACATACTTTCAAGATTTTCGGTAGAAATGACACTTGCCTATAATTTTTTTCATTTGATTTGGAGTCTTTCTTGTTGGTTGAACTCACAATTAATTGTTCTCCAGCATTTTGGGAAAATTCCGGTTTGTTTGATTTTATAAAATGTTTGAATTTTTAAAATGTTTCTTAAATGAAAAGTATTTTGCCATTTCTGGAGATAAAGCAATTTTTATTACCAGCTTACGAGAAAAATTCAAAATGAAATCGATCAAAAATATGAACACATGAATTGAAAAATTATATTTTGTCGAAAGATATTATAGGTAATACATCGAAAACTGTTTTTTTTAAGTCAATAACAATTTAGAACAGTTTACATGATGACAAAACCAAATTCAAGAATTTCCTTGCTTATAGAAAAGCAAAAATCACTTCTAAGAATTTGTACTTACTTTTATTGAACGAAGATCCAACAGTGGCAATCTGTGGATAAATTGCATGGAAAGATTTCAAGTTGTTTAAAAATAAATTTCCGTAAGGTTGCGATACTATCAAATAAATGCTGAAATATCTTCTAAATATATGCTGTTTTTGACAACAATTATAATAAGGGATACTGATTAATATTGACGAATTGGAAAATCCAAAAAATAAAATCGCGGAAGTTTACAAAAACTATTTTTTCAATAAAGGTAATCTCGAAGATATATGCTCCTGGAGACTGACATGTAATCCAAATACTAGTGCTCAAATCCAAATACTAGTGATCTTGCCTCCAAATACTAGTGCTCAAATCCTTGTAGTTATCGAGAAATGACGTTTTTTGTGATTTTTTCAAAAAGTTTTCAGAAAACATGAATTAATTTTTTTTTTCAAAATTGGAAATTCCCAACCCCGTAATTGGATGCTGTCAGAGTACTCTAAGGAGTTGCAAATCTTGCCTCCAAATATGACTGTTCAAATCTTTGTAGTTTTCGAGATATGACCTTTTTTGTGATTTTTAAAAAAAAATTTCAGAAAATTTAACAATTTTTTTTTTCATAATTTGAAATTCCTAACTTTGTAGTTGAGTGCTGTCAGGGTATTCTCAGGGGTTATAAATCTTGCTACATCCGACTGCTCAATTGCTTTTAATTTTCGAGATGTGGCGTTTTTTTATTATAATTTCTTTTCAAATTTCTCAAAGAACTTATCTACAAAGAAATTCACAAAATTTGAAACTACCAAATTGATGAAGATGCAACCTTATTGTCAGCGTACACCCAGGCGTCTCAAATCTTGCCTCTAATTATGAATGCTTAAATACTTTTAGTTTCCGAGATAGAGATTTTTTATGATTTTTTAAATTTTTTCACAGGTTTAAAAAAATCACGAAATTTGAAATTTTTAACCCTATAGTAGGGTGCTCTCAGGGAGGCTCTCCAGAGGCCCATTTTCGAGAGACCGCTTTTATTGTTTTTCAAAATGGGAATTAAAAAAATAAAAAGTTTGAAATTACCAACCCTGTAAGTGGGTGCAGTCGAGTACTCTAAAAGTTTGTAGATCTTGTATTTTTATGCTGAAGCAACTTTTATGCTCTTATATCTGTTTGAAGCACCGAAGGTGCGTTACATGCTAGTTATTATTATTATTATAATAAAATCATAATCAGTGGTTTGGGAATTGAACGTTTTAGCTCCGTGAACAAGTGTTAGATACTTTTAAATCTAAATATTCAATCCGTTTTTTAAACCAAAAAAAAACAATATTCGAGACATGCTGAAAAACGGAGCGAGAAACGCCAAAGAGCTTATAAAAATTGGGTAAATTACCTGAGGAGAGTAGTACACCAATTGTTAGTAAGGGTAGTTTTAAGGGTTGAGTCAAAGGAGTTCCATGCAATTGGGCATCAGTTGAGTAAGTACATGAAAAATAATACAATAGTAAATCAGGGATAAAACTAAGGTAAATATAATATCATAAATAGGGATATTATTACATGGTACGGGGAATACTAAAAGGCGAACGTTAGAAAAAGGGGAACTGTTAATAAGGGGGTTATTCAGAAAAGTTGATATTAATCCCGAGTTTTCGTATAAATTGAAACATTATTTTACCTGAAAGTTTGTCATTTCCTTGTAAGTCATGCTGTTTTTGAAAAGTTGAGAGAAACGAGTGAGTCAGCTTGGCTGTAATGTCAAAAGTCAAGTTGAGAGAAAGGTGACCTTAATTGTTTACAATTAACACCCGCCCACATTTGCAGAGCTTGCAAATAAAGTATTGAATAAAATAGTAAGGATACGGTAAAATACAAAGATAAGGGAACCAGTAGATAAGGGAACCAGAAATTGTTCTTTTTCATCTTCATCTTGGTTTGTCTATCGTTGAGCTGATTGTCTTAGTTGAATTGACGAGTCGTAGATTTGTTCATCTTTGTCGAGTTGATATGTTGAAGGCTGAGTTGCGTGATTATTTGGTTGGTTAGCTATTTGGAGCTTGGTTACTGCGAAACTGGGAAAACGCGGCTCAATTTGACCACAGGTCGAACTTTGAATCCAGTTGGCGTTTTCAGCTTCACTGAGCGGACTATTCCATCTTGTCCAGGAAAGGTTTCCACCACTTTAGCAAGAGGCCACAGTCCACGAGGTGTAAAATCCTCCAACATCCAGACCATGTCGTCGGGTTGCAAATTGGAAGTCGCAGAAGTCCACTTTGATCGTTTCTGCTGACCTGGTAAGTACTCTCGAAGAAAGCGATTCCAGAAGTGATCTGCGAGTAGTTGGGATGCTTTCCATGATTTTGACAGAGATAAATCCTTGTCCTTGAAGATACCAGGCGGTAAATTTGGAGTTCCACGACCAAGAAGGAAACGGTTGGGAGTGAGAGGCAGATCATCTTTGATGTCGTCAGACACATTGGTTAAAGGTCGTGAATTCATGGTTGATTCAATTTCGGTCGTGAAAGTAGCCAGTGTTTCATAGGAGAGTGTTCTTGATCCGATGACTTTGTACAGGGAAAGTTTAAATATCTGAACTAGTCGTTCCCAAGAACCACCAAAATGAGGGGCCGCAGGAGGGTTGAATTTCCATTCGAGTGATACGTCCAGCTGATTGATGCTTTCCACAAAGTCTTTGTTCTTTTCCAAGTTGTCTAGACATTTCTTCAGCTCAGAATTGGAGCCCACAAAACTTGTCCCACAATCAGAAACCATTTTCGATGGTTTTCCTCGCCGGGCAAAAAAGCGTCTGATACAAAGAAGAGTGCTGTCTGTCGATAGTCCTAATGAGATTTCAAGATGCACAGCTCTGATCACTAAGCATGTGAACAGTAAAATATACGCTTGGTATTGTTTTCCTTGAAGGATGATGGGAAAAGGTCCAACGTAGTCCAATCCAGTCGTTGCAAAAGGAAAATGATTTTTTGATGGCAGTCGATCAATTGGAAGATCTGACATCTGAGGGTAGTCGACTTGTTGTTGCATTCTTCTGCAGGGTATACAACTGTGTATGATACTTTTCAGCATGACGCGGCAGCGAAGAATCCAGTAGTTTTCCTGTGCTATGGCCATTGCTTGTTCCTTTCCGCAGTGGGAATGTAGAACATGGATGTTAGCTAACAGCAGGCGAACATTGGGGTTTTCACCAGCGAGAATGATTGGATATCTAGCTGATAGCATGATAGGGGCACGCGTGAGACGTCCACGAGAACGCAGGATACCGAAGTTGTCCACAAACGGTGCTAATGTTCGAAGTCTACTTTTGCCTTCAATTGGTTTTTCTTTTTTGATGTCTGAAATTTCAGAGACAAAATCTGTCCTTTGGGCAGTTTTAATTATGAGAAAGTGCGATTTCGTTAGATGCAAGAGTTGAAGATCGGCCTTCGACTGTTTGTTGATCTTCCGTTTGAGATTTTCTGCGAATAAGAAGCAGTATGCAACTGTCTGTATTAGTCTTTTCCAGTTGCTGAAGCGTTTGATGTCAAATATAGGCTCAAATTTAGCCTCTAATGAAGTAACGAATACAGGAATGTTCTCAAGCCGAATGTTTTCCTGTGAAGGCCATTGAGAAGAATCGTTCAACAGAAATTCCGGTCCTAGTAGCCACCGACAGCTTGAGGTCATTTCTATAGCAATGTATCCTCTGGTACCGTCGTCAGCAGGATTTAGCAGAGTTGGAACGTGAAACCACTGTTCAGGTTTAGAAACGTCTAAAGTTTTCTGAAGCCGATTAGCGACGAAAATTTTGTGTCGTATTTCAGGTGTTCGCAGCCAATACAAAACAGTAGTACTGTCAGACCAGAAATAAGTTTTTTCAACTTTGAGGTCAATTTCCTCTGAAACAAAGAGCGATAGTTGGGCAGCATATACTGCAGCTTGCAACTCGAGATTGGGAATTGTAACACGTTTCATAGGAGCGACTCTTGTCTTTCCTATTATAAACTTCAAAGATGTGGAGCCGTCGCTGTAGACTATTCTTAGGTAGCAAACAGCAGCGAGAGCGAATTCTGATGCATCACAAAACGTGTGAAGCTGGATTGAAGCAGGGTTTTCTTTATCAAAGAAGTTCCTTTGGAATGAAACAGTTTCGAAATTTTCCATTTCGTCTACCCAAAGTTTGAAATCGGGACGTTTATCCGTGTCTAATGGAGTATCCCACTTAACACCTTGTGACCAAACAGATTGGAGAACTTTTCGAATCCGAATTGTCAATGGAGCCACTATTCCGAGTGGGTCAAATAAAGAAGCGGTATACTTCAGGAGTTTCCGTTGCGTAGCAATGCCAATACGTAGAATTTTTACAAACTTTTTGTTATCGATGAAGTAGCAGTCAGTGTTGGTATTCCAGTGAACACCGAGAACTCGTTGATGTTTAGGCGTTGGATCATTAGGGCTGACTAAAATATTTGGATCAATTGAATCCAGGAATGGTTTACTGTTTGAGTTCCACTTATTCAAGTTGAACCCACCTCGAGATAAAGATCCTCGTAGTTGTGTCATTTGTTGGAGGGCTTCTTCTACCGTTGACGAAGTGACATACAAATCATCCATGTAGATATTCCGTTGAATGATTTCAGAAGCCAGAGGAAAGTCGTTTTTACTGTCTGATGCACATCGTCGTACTGCGTAGCAAGCCACGCATGGTGAGTCTGTGGCACCGAAAATGTGTCGTGTATATTCGTGAGTTTCTAATTTACCATTTTCTTTCCAAAGGTATCTTAGAAAAGGTCTATCCTTTGGGCTGACTAGCACTTGCATAAACATAGCATCTATGTCAGCAGATATTGCTATTTTATTTTGTCGAAAGCGAATTATGAGACCTGTTAAGTTGCACAAAAGATCGGGCCCTTTGAGCAAACTCGAGTTGAGGGATTTACCCTGAAAAATGCTGGAAGCATTTGAGACTCGTCTAACTTTGTCTGGTTTGTTGACATTTGTCACTGGATGATGCGGCAAATACCAAGATTTGATTGCAGTGTCATGTTTTGCATCTATTTTGGTGACAAAGCCTTTTTCTAAGTCAGTGATGACTGTTGCGCGGTATTTCTCCCTTAAATCAGGTTTACTTTTAAGGCGAAATTCGAGGCTGTTGAGTTGCTTTTCAGCTAGCCAACGGTTATTTGGAAGATCAGTATCCTCTTTCCAAAGAAGGTCAATTTGATAGTGACCATCTACTAAAGTACAAGAGTTTTCGAGAATATCGATTGCTCTTTTATCCGATTTGGAGTGCGAGCGTTTTGAAGAAGCGATGCCTGTGTTTTCTATTTTCATCCAGTTGAGAACTTCCTGGTATAATTTTTCATCTAAGTTATTGTGTGAATGAACTTGTGTGAAGTTCACCGGAACAGATGGAACGGAATTATATTGCGTTTTGTTCCGACCTGTGCATGTCCATCCCAAAAGGGTTTCGATAGCCCAGGGAACATTCTTGGGGCCATAAACGGTATTTTTGATCTCATGATATTCTGGATTGTTGTTTCCGATGACTAGCGATATGCTATTGTCGTTTAAGTCCGGGTATTTAACATGCTTTAAATGTGGAAAATTGTTGCACATTGCGTTTAGTTGAAAAATATCAACTGGGGCCAAATTATTTTCATCTACCGTGAGTACGTCATCGAGCGTCATTGGAGTCGATGTGCTTTTGTATGGTCTAATTTGTACATCCACAGATGTAACTTGAACTGACTTGGTCTCATGATATCCAGATATGGGAAGTGAGTGCTTCTTGTTGACGTCCAAGCCTAGTTGAGTTGCCACTGAGTCCAGTAGTAGAGTTACGCAGCTACCACTATCTAAGAAAGCGTAGGTACAAAGTGTTTTATCACCATTTGATAATTCGATTGGTACAAAAGCTGATTGACCTGATCTCTGACAAGCTATTGCGCGATTCACTGCAGCTTTACTAGGGTTTTTTCCATAAGTATCAGAAGGATCGTGGAGTAGAGTGTGGTGTTTTTTACCACAATTATCGGTTCGACAGAGCGATTTCGAATTGCAGTCAGTAAACCTATGATTCCCTAGACAGTTAAAGCATAAGTGCATTTTTCGGGCATGCTCTTTTCGTTGCTTAGGGTCTAAAGCTTTGAAGTGCTCGCATTTGTAGAGAGGTCCACAGGTGTCTCCACTAGGACAAGCATTCGAGTTTACATTATTCTGAGCACGAGAGTTTTGTTGATCTCCCTGATGGTTAAAGCGCTGATTTTGATTTCCTACACCATTTGTAGTAAAACCATTGAAACGGGAACCACTAGGGTGTTTAGCGTTTCCAGAAGAATTGTTAAAATTGTTATTGTTTTGGTTTCGGAAACCTGTCGGAGGCATGTCGCGACACGCCTGTGCGTACCGTTGAAACCATTGTGCTAGATGTCTCAAGGAGGGTTGATCGTAGTCTTTGTCGATGACGAAGCGATTCCATTCTAATCTCACAGGGTCGGGAAGCTTTGCCAGAGCAGTGTTCAAGTTTGTTGTAGAACAAATATCGTGAACAAAACCAAGTTGCTCAAAAGTGTCCACTAAAGTTAGGAGAAAAGCAGAAAACTGCATGTATGATTCTGGTTGAGCCAGATTTGGAGGTTTGAAATTTGCAAGACGTTGCAAAAAAGAGTTGACAATTCTATTGGTATTGCCAAAGTTTTCACGAAGACGTTGTAGTGCTAGTTCGTATGTGTCGCCGTTTGCACCATAACCAGCTATCATTAGTTTAGCTGGGCCAGTTACCAATGATTGAAGATGGATCATCTTTTCAGTTGGAGACATATTAGAATTATGAATCGATGATACGAATACACCATACCAGTGCAACCAATAGTTGGGATTGCCATTGAAAATTGTAGGCTTCAGTTTTGGCACTGATCGACTGAATGTAGTAGAAGTGTCGCTTGAATTAGTTGCCAAAGCTCGATTGTTGTTGTTAGGAGGGTTTGCAGCACTAGCTTGTTGTGAGCTGTGGTTAGGAACATCACTAGCAAATGGATTTGAAAATGATTGGTCGCCTTGAAATGGCGCCGAAAGGTTGTCGTCAGCGGCAGCTGTTCTTGCATTGCCTTGAGTATTGTTGCTCATGGTTATAAGGTTGTTGTTTGGTATATCCATTATGTTTGCAGTCGGCATGGAGGTTGCGGTTTCCTGTGGGAAAATTGAAGTAGCATTTTCTTGAGCGCTGTTATTTGGAATTGTAGAAGTAGCAGGATTTGAAACTTGTTTTTTCAAATATTTTTTCACTTTCATTGAAAATACTCGGATTTTCTGTTTCAACTGTACTGTCCAGTGAGAATGTTCTTCAAAATCGTGTTCAGAACCAGCCTGTAACATTTGATCGTTCAGGGTATCAAGTTTTTGTTGGAATTGAGACAATTCAGTGAACGTTTCATTGATGAGTTCAAGATCATCTTCTTCCTCGTAGATGTTGTTTTCGAGCATGTCGATCAAAGTATTGATCTCCATTTCGTGATGACGTCGAAGCGAAACCAGTTTTCGAACGCCAGTCTCTTGAACGTTTTGATTGGTATCTTGCGTTTGGGTACCATTTTGTTCCGAAGGATCGCTGTCATTGTTTTGCGTCGTTTTATTTCTACCGGATGGGGCCATACCTTGAACCAGGAGACGTAAACCAATACCTACCAACTTATACCAGTATATGAATTTACCTTTACCAACCTACCAACTTATACCGAATACCACCGATGCTCGTAAGAAGGAGCGAAATAATGGATAAAGTTTAACCAATTACCACTGTACCTTACCACTTGTACCTACCTCCGAGGGAAAATTGAGCGGTCGTTCAAAGTGTCCTCGGTATTAACAATTAACTGCGATTTTAAAGCTAGTCCAAGAACCTACCTGGTCCTACCAGCCTACCGACCCTACCTACCTACCAATTACCAGTATAAACGGCAAAAAAAACCGGGTGCAAAGATTAGCACCAATGAGTGTTGACCTCCCAGAGGACAACTGAGGATGACGTATTTACCTACCTACCTGTCGCTATTTAGCAGACGACCGAATTGTGATTGCTGACCTCCCAGAGGACAACTAAAGTTGATGTACCTGTTTACCTACCTGTCCTAATACCGTAGATTTATCCCTGTGCAATAAAATTTGCACTTATACCAGTTGACCTCCCAGAGGACAACTTGCCTTTATCGCTGTAGCGTAGCGAATGAGACGAACTAGAGTTGTTCGAAGCAGTTGATGAGCTAAACGAAGCTCGAATGTAGCCACGAACCCAGTGAGGCTCGAAGCAGCAGAGGAAATGAGCTCAGGTAAAGCTCGACAGGAAGCAGCCAAGAACCGAGAGGCTCAAAGCAGAAAATAAGGTGAGCTAAGACGAAGTTCGAATGTAGCCACGAACCCAGTGAGGCTCGAAGCAGCAGAGGAATGAGCTCAGGTAAAGCTCGACAGGAAGCAGCCAAGAACCGAGAGGCTCAAAGCAGAAAATAAGGTGAGCTAAGACGAAGCTCGAATGTAGCCACGAACCCAGTGAGGCTCGAAGCAGCAGAGGAAATGAGCTCAGGTAAAGCTCGACAGGAAGCAGCCAAGAACCGAGAGGCTCAAAGCAGAAAATAAGGTGAGCTAAGACGAAGCTGGAATGTAGCCACGAACCCAGTGAGGCTCGAAGCAGCAGAGGAAATGAGCTCAGGTAAAGCTCGACAGGAAGCAGCCAAGAACCGAGAGGCTCAAAGCAGAAAATAAGGTGAGCTAAGACGAAGCTCGAATGTAGCCACGAACCCAGTGAGGCTCGAAGCAGCAGAGGAAATGAGCTCAGGTAAAGCTCGACAGGAAGCAGCCAAGAACCGAGAGGCTCAAAGAAGAAAATAAGGTGAGCTAAGACGAAGCTCGAATGTAGCCACGAACCCAGTGAGGCTCGAAGCAGCAGAGGAAATGAGCTCAGGTAAAGCTCGACAGGAAGTAGCCAAGAACCGAGAGGCTCAAAGCAGAAAATAAGGTGAGCTAAGACGAAGCTCGAATGTAGCCACGAACCCAGTGAGGCTCGAAGCAAGCGGAATAAGTGAGCTCAGATAAAGCTCAAACAAATGTCATGTCGAAGAACAATGACGAAAATTGAGAGTCCAAAAAGAACTCGAATCAGGTAACCAAGGAGTCGGGCAATAAGAAAGCAAAAGTGTCAGAAAACACTTGAAGGAAGGAAGCAATGAAGGAAGCAAAGGGCCAAGAAAGGCTCGGAAGGAATATACAAGGCGTCAGATAAGACTCGGAAGGAATGAATGAATGAGTAGGGAAAGACTCGGAAACGAACAACAAATGGGTCGAGAAAGACTCGGAAAGGAATGAAACATTGAGTCAGAAAAGACTCGGAAAGGAACGCAAAAGGCAATAAAGACTCTGAACGGAATGAAAAATGAGTCGGGAAAACTGAAGTTTTTTCATAAATGAGTCACAAAAGACTCGGAATAGCAAAGCAACAAAAAACGAATTGAAAGGGGAAAAATGATGAAAATAACTTAATACATTATTCAAAGTAAATGAAGCTATGAACAATTGAAACGTTTAAAGTTTACATGGGTTAGAAATCAAGAGCAATAATTGATCTTTTTTTTTTTTAAATGTAAATCAAATAAACTGCGATTAACTGTAAATAAATGAAATAATATTGTAATGGGGAAGTATTATAACAAGATATAATAAACCGCAGACGTAAAAACTGGGGAGGAAAAACAGTAACTAACCATAAATTTTTGGTTGTGGGGGAATAAAAAACACAGTGTAACGAGCTAATCAAAACTTTTTCGGGGCGCCAATATAAAAATTGGGTAAATTACCTGAGGAGAGTAGTACACCAATTGTTAGTAAGGGTAGTTTTAAGGGTTGAGTCAAAGGAGTTCCATGCAATTGGGCATCAGTTGAGTAAGTACATGAAAAATAATACAATAGTAAATCAGGGATAAAACTAAGGTAAATATAATATCATAAATAGGGATATTATTACACGGTACGGGGAATACTAAAAGGCGAACGTTAGAAAAAGGGGAACTGTTAATAAGGGGGTTATTCAGAAAAGTTGATATTAATCCCGAGTTTTCGTATAAATTGAAACATTATTTTACCTGAAAGTTTGTCATTTCCTTGTAAGTCATGCTGTTTTTGAAAAGTTGAGAGAAACGAGTGAGTCAGCTTGGCTGTAATGTCAAAAGTCAAGTTGAGAGAAAGGTGACCTTAATTGTTTACAATTAACAGAGCTGCTCTGAGACAATTGACTTCATCAGAACTCAGATCAGCTCTGCACTCGTCAGGAGTTGAATATTAATGCTTATGTATCACCACTAAAGTAAATTTTACGTATCTTTGCCTAAACTGAAATCGTATCTGAACAGTTTTATTTTTGCTTAACTTTCAACATTTAACATACTGTGTGTTCGCATTTTGTCCAATGCTTTTGTAAAATTTGCCGCTTTTAAAATTCTGCCTACTCTTTTTCATATTTTTCATTTTTGTTTTTATGCTTCCACAAATTATAATTAAGTCTTTCTCTAAGCACCAGGGGGCGGCTTAGATGATGTTTCACTTGATGACGATGTATTAAATGCTGAAAGTTTCTTATGCAGCTTTTGACATTTTTCTCATGACTTGATTTAATGATTCGAACGCTTTGAGGAATTATCAAAGCGCTGATATGCAGGGGTTGGTAAAAGTCAATTGGTAAACAAAAAGTCAATTACTTGAAAAGATTGTCAATTAATTGAATTGTTTGCTCAAGCTTTGTCAATTCTCAATTAATTGCAATTAATTGGGTCTCGTTCATAGCTTTAGCAACGTCAGTTTTCGACCAAAATTGATTGTTAACATTCAGAAACAGCTGCATTTCAAGGTTCATCGGCAAAATACTCTGTCGTAAGTCACCAAAAGCAAATCCCGCTTTGAAAAATTGTTCTGCCATGTTGGAAGTTGGCCTCAAATATCGTACATCTTGATAAACAATATCAGCTGATTTCTTAGTAGATCCGCGCAGATCGGAAAAGGCCGAATGTGCTCACGTCTACACCTTGGTCCAGAGGCCAACCAATGGTATGGGATGCCACTGTCGTGGACGCATTGTGCAGTAGTAGAATTGACTCATTTGAGCCCCTGAAAGCAGCGACTACAGCAGAAGAGACGAAAAGAATGAAATACACTGAAATCATCAACAGAGGCTACTTGTTTCAGCCTGTCGCATTCGAAATACAAGGAGGCGCAGGACCAGACATCAAACGTTTTCTTTCTAAGCTCGGCAAGCTGATTCAAGATTCCACCAACGAAGCCCGTGTTTCTGCCTTCCTTAGACAAAGAATATCAGTTTGCATACAAATGTCTAACGCAGCATGTGTAATCGGAACTCTACGCCCTCAAGCTACTCTCGATGAAGTTTTTATGATCCTCTAATTCTCTGTCACCTTGTATCTCACTTTCTACGAATTTCTTATCTTGCCATTGCCAATATCCGGCCTTTTTATCTGATAGATTTCCCATATGGTACTCTCTTTCACTCCCGGTGCTATCTTGGTTTCATGCTTCAGTTGTTGCTCTGCTATTTGAAATAAATACTTTTTATCCATAATAGCTTTACATTTCAAAGACAAAACCATATAAATTTCAAAGTTAGCAAACCTTCAAGTAATCTATTATCTATTATATATTTAAATGCGGGCTTCACTATCTCGCCATGTTTAAGCTTTTTCAACGTATTATTTTTGCATGTTTAAGCTATATCGTATATTGCAATGGTTAAGAATTTTTTTCGATTTTCCAATTTGATTTTAGTGGTTATTTTACCGAGTTTTAATTAAGTAGACCAATATCGAATTAGGGGTGGCGAATTTGGCCTCCAATTTTGAATGCCCGAATCATATTCATTTAAGCTAACGAGATAAGACGATTTTTGAGATTTTTTCAAAAATTATCTGAAATTTCAAATAACAAAAAAATTTAAAAACTTGAAGTTCCAGAACATGTAGCTGGGCGCTGTCAGACTACTCTAAGGAGTTACAAATCTTGCCTCCAAGTATGACCGTTCAAATCGTTGTAGTTTTCGAGATATGACGTTTTTTGCGATTTTTTCAAAAAAAATTCAGAAAACTCAATTTTTTTCCCGCAAAATCTGAAATTCCCCGCCCTGTAGTTAGGTCCTGTCAGAGTTGTCTCAAGGATTGCGAATCTTGCCTCCAAATATGACCGCCCAATTCTTTGTAGTTTTCGAGATGTGATGTTTTTTTGTGATTTTTCAAAATTTTCAGAAAGTTGAAATTAATTTTTTTTTCGAAATTTCAAATCCGAACGCTAAAGTTCGACGTTGTCAGGGTACTCTAAAGAGTTGTAAATTGTGCTTGCCACATGCGAATGATAAACGGGACTGCTCAAATGCTTTTAAATTCCGAGATGTGACGTTTTTTGATTTTTTCAAAGTTTTTCAAAGAACATATCTACAAAGAAATTTAAAAAATTTGAAACTACCAGCTTGATGAAGATACAACCTTATTGTCAGCGTACACCCAGGCGTCTGAAATCTTGCCTCTTAGTATGAATGCTCAAATCTTTTTAGTTTCCGAGATAAGACGTTTTTTTTTCAATTTTTTCTTCGAGAAACTTAGGTTTAA